CCTTCCGGGCCTCGGGGTCCTTGCGGTCCTTGTGGTCCTTTGTCACCTGCCTCACCTTCCATTCCAGGAGGTCCTGGATATCCTTGTTCTCCTTGTGGACCGGTTGGTCCTGGAGGTCCTTCGTCGCCTGGTTCTCCTTTTTGTCCGTCTCTTCCAGGCGCTCCTGGTGGCCCGCTAGTAGATAATGATGATAAGCAGGCCTGAAAATAGAATTTACATGAGTTGGAAGGCTGCTGCCTTGAAATGTGCTCTTTTTTATTAAGAAAAATACATCGGGGAACTTACTTGGATTACGACAACAGTGGAAATAACCAATATGAAAGTGCCGAAAAGATGCATTGGTACTAACAATCTAAAATTGATCATATGCCAGCTGAAAATTTTCATATCCTCAAATTTTCAAAATCTGAAAAAAAAATTAAACGAGGGTTTAAGTTCTTATAGAAAATCATTCCACACAAGAAATTTTTATTGAATGAGATCTTTTCTTATTTTTGCGCAAATTATAACTAATCGATCAGAATTTGATATTGCAGTTGTAATACTTCTGAGATGTATGAAAAAGCAAGTAATTGATTGATTAGAATGTAAAAATCTTGTTTAAAAAACTACGATATCGTCGGATTTAAGGTCCAAACTGAAATTTAATGAAGCGAGTTCCGAACAAAAATCTTCTGTTTATATTAGAAAGTTGAATTCTGATATGAATCTTTCTGGAATTTATAAAACAAAGACATTTCAAGAATTCTATGTTGAACGGTTATATTTTTAACCAGTGTCATGGTCGCTATTATATTTTGATTCCTAAGGCTATAAGAAGGAAATTTTTTGCGAGTTAACAGCTATTTGGACCCATTCCGGATCACTTTTACATTTGCAGGTATTACTGCTTGCTATTGAAAGGGAAAGACAAAATCAATGTTCGGGTGCAGTAAGTAAATGCTGCAAACGGTTTTGCTTGCATAAAATATTTTGCTATCCAAAATTAAAACATATATCTGAAGTGTTTCAAAATTTCATTCAACCCGAGAAACAAATTGGAAGACTAATTAATGAAATTTCACCCACAGTGATAAATTATAATTTAAAAGTACAGTGAAGGATTCATTTGTTTCATAAATTTCAAACTTTTGTGCTCCAACATTTGTAAGCAAATTCTAAAAATTAACCAATAACGATTTTAGGCACATGAATTTTGTGACATAATGGAAAGTGGACATCAACAGATAGGTTGGTGCAAACAAAAACAATTATGAGAGAAGTAAATATCACTGAGAGAGAGATACTGTTTCGATATCTCCCACTAATTCCATCCTACCGATTCTTTTCCATCTTGCTTTTCTTGCAGTCCTTGTATCCTAGGCATTCCTTTGGGCCAACCTCAACCTGTCCTTCCATTCTCACTTCTCTCTCTTCATTCCATCTTCTCAGTCCTGGTGATCACGGAAGTTCTCCCCTTAACACTGATGATGGAAGTCATCATGCCTGAAAATAAATTTGGAAATACTTTGCAAAAAATGCTGGAACTTTCTTGGATTATAAAAACATTGCAATAACTTATAGGAAAGTAGCGAAAAGATGCATTCAAACCGATAATCTATGCATTTTTTTTATATTAAAAAAATTTTTTTTTTCAAAACTTTTCCAAATGTTAAAATTTTCACTCTTTCAGAAAAAATGAAGCTTGATTTCAATTTTCTACATATGCAAAACAACACAGAAATGTGTTGTAGTAGTTATATTGAGAAATATCTTCTAACAATTTTCAATGATTATGCACAATGTATATGGTAAAATAATATGTGTCATTTTGATTGTAATACTGAAAGATCTTTTTTCTTTAATAATTTCAAAATGTTCGATGTTTTAAAATCTATAATAATCTATTAAAAGCATTTAAACAATGTTTGGATATGTGATATTAGTAAACGAAGTTGTTCAAACTTTCCTTTCTCATCTGTTCAATTATTCGCAATGAAACTTTAAATAGTTGATTGAAATATGCATTTCCACCCTGTGATTCATTCATTGATCAGTTTATCAGAGTTACTAAAAAGATAACTAAAAGTGCTATCATGTTTTCTGATGAACTTGCAATTGCTACTAATTGATTCGCATGATTTCTGCAATGTTAGATTGCTAAAGGATCACTTCTTTAGAAATGCTTTTTTCCTTCAATTTTTTATATAATATCAAATCAACCGTGTGCTGATGTGATAAAGCATGATATTATAATGACGACGTGGAATCTTCGTCAAATATTTCATGCTTGAAAATTTTCATTCTTAATTCAATATCACAAACAATTTAATTCTGTTCCACTTTTCATCCATTTTCAAAAAATTTTCCGGAAAGTTTTTTTTTCATAGATTTGGTAAGAATGAACGATTGACTGCATTCAAAAAGTCTTCATTTTGCATTTCAATTGCCATCGAAGAAGCAGAAGTCCATTAGAGAAGAGGTGATGAACAGTCACAATTGTGAATTTTAATGGTGAAGATGCATTGTTCATAATTTGGATCTTCTATCAATAATGAGGATTTCAGAGGTCAAAGTAAATTTGTTAATTTTTTTCAGATTTAATTTAATGTAGTTTTACTTATAATTTGATTACAATTAGACCATTATTATAAAAAATACTGATCGAAACTATGCATGTATTGGAATAACTGTAAAAGATCCTTTTCAGACATATGATTTGGAGTGAGTTCTTAAATAAAATATAAATAAAACCAACAGCTAAAATCTGAGTAAGCTTGTATAACATTAAAACTTTGAACTAACAAAATTAAATACAGCTCGAACAAATTCGAATAAAGTCAACTAATTAAATTTGATTTGATTTAAATCACAGCAAAATCTTGATTAATAGAGCTTTAAATAAGATTCGATGATATTTGAAAAATAAGCTTTGATTAGAAATTAAATGATGGGTGAAAACTCAACATAGAATAAAGTGAGGAATGAAAGGAAAGTAGCAAAGTAAGAAGAACTTCAAGCCAACTGATTAAGTCAAATGACTGTGAATTTTTCGTTGCAATATATGAACAAATTTTTTACAGCGAAACCTGTGGGCGCGTTTGGCTTGCTTCCAATTTTTTGTTAGCGATATTATGGCACTCGTAAGCTCAGATGGTTGACGTGGGGTGAGTTCGGTTTTTCGCTGAGCTCATTTGAGAATGCGTAATTTGCGCTGGAGTGAAACGTGTTGTGATTTGTTTTGGAACAGATAAGCGGTTTATTCGTACATGAATACATAAATTTTGCCTTTTATACTAGAGCTGGATTTAATATTGTTGCAGTTTAAAATTGAAACCAGCAAGGTTGACGAAACTTCTTAACGAATTTTAGATTGCTATTTTTTTAGATCCATGTCGATATGCAGTGGTTCGCATCGGTGATTTGTCTTGAATTTTGCTTAAGAAGAAGTCAAGAAATGGAATTTATTGCAGATCTATGTTGGCTGCAGCGAACAATGGAATAAATCAGTACTGATATTGAAATAGAAGTTTAAAAGATCTGCTGTACAGATAGCGGAAAAATACTGATGTCAGCATATAACGGTTTCAAAAACCATGTAACTTTATCCAAACATCCAGCTCGAGGTGAGGAGAGCGCTAACATTCACAGATTTTATTTAGAACCACGCAGCACTTTCTTGAGGATCCGAGATGACGTCAGTGTATTTTATGTGAACGAAAGTATTCCTTTCAAATTTTTGAAGGTTAAAAATGTCGCTCAATACATTATTATTTCTTATGCTGATAGAATCAGTTCCAGGAAAGTGTTATATGTTATATT